ACACGTTAAAGGACCTTACTAAAAAATATTGACCATACATGATCAGTAAACATTGAAATACATTATTTTTTAAATAGAAACATCTCCTTTTTATTAGTGTGTCACCATGTTGTGATGTGACTGTAAGCTCAGGCTTGTCTAACTGCAACCCATTTGTTTTTTTAAAGAATCGGCTTACTAAAATGAATATGCTACAGTTTGACATCACAGTCATTCAATGCTATGTACCAGCGATTTACATTATTCCCATGCTTTCTTTTGCAGAGCATTTGAATTCCTAATATGTGAATTGCGTGCATGATGCCACAGGTGTCTGAACCCTTTCAAAAAGAGAAAAATTTGTACTCCTATCTGAGAAGGAACACAATTTCAAAAACTATTGTACAATAGAAATACAGTACATAATACTTTCACAATCATCGTTTTATCACGAGAATCGCAAAAATGAAGGGCATGCGAAAATAAAGGGCTTGACAGTATCCATGGAAACCTACAAGCTTATGTTAAACAGACTGAACTAACAACATATACCTTTGAGTTTTTTAAGCACCCCATCAATTAATTAAATAATTCATGTTTGTACACTATATACACATTGGGGTTTAATATGGATTCGATTTGATTTCATTAACCTTTAGCTTTTATACAAGGAAATATTATTGGCTTTTACTGACAATAAAAGTACATCAGTTTTAATCTACTTATCCACTCCCATATACCAGGATCTGTTTGACTCATTAACAATAAGTACACTTTGGATTTGAGAGAAAACTACAGACATTTATGCATAGGGTATGTAGCAGAATATATTTTTATCTAGCCTGCTTACATTTCAATTTAAATTTCTCTTGATGTCAATAATACATTGAGCTATTCTTATAAATCGAAATGTAAGAGCATTTAATTAAAGTAAACATACACACTTTTATATGTTTTCTAATTTGTTACATTTTGAACATGTCAACGTGTCTGTATCATCACCAATAGCATTTTATAGGGCATGCATTAGAAATCAAACAGAGTACTACCACATAGTTTTGTGCAACCACGCGTGGATACAATAGAATATGACTAGCTGCATATAGGAAACAGAATGGCGACAAATTACTTTTGTGACGAATTAGGTCTTTCTTTTACCCACAAGTCAATGTTTACAACAATACAGCCTATTCGTACGATCTTTATCCAAGGAAAATACACAGAAATGTACAGTAATGTATGTTATCGGATGATATCGCGTAATATGTCCACCAATTTTTCCAGGCCTTAGCCTATTACTGTATAATATACATACTGTATATTACAATCTTTAAAAGTTACGTTCTGAGTTAAATTCAAATATTTGAAGTCCTCTTCACACTAACATTTTAATAGTCAGTCTTTACAATTTTAAATTGTGTTTTTCATTGACATAAAAAAATTTTTTACAGAAACATTTAAAGTCACTGATCCATGGCATACACTATTCACAGGAAACCAACTAGGAAAAGTATGTGTAGAATTACATACATGGTCATGATATGATGTCATAATCATGACCATATTTAGGCATATCTCATGTTTTTGTCAAAAAAAATTTGATAATCTAGGGGCTTAAGAGTAAAATTGTGTGAAGATGCTGTTTATTGGTGGTAAAGCACATAGGTCTTAGTACAGAAACAGAAGTGTTTATTAACATGGATTCATAACAAAACTTTATACTTTTGGTCCATATAAAAATACCAGCAATTATTATAACAATATAAACCTATATTCCTCCAAATGAGCAAAAAAAAAAAACATGTGAATAATACTGTTCTTTTGAAACTATTGCATATTAATTGTTAATAGGTTGAGGTTGATCCTATCAAATATCTGAATAATATGGTGGGAGCATCATTAAACCCTTCATGATTAGTTCAAATGAAGGTGAAAAAAAAATAGATTTTAGTTTTTTTTTTTTTTTTACAGGAGTATGAGTTCCCCTTATCCCACAAGATCACAAGCACACACAAACATGCACACAAAATTTTATATCTCCCTATGACGGTATAGGTACACAGCTGCACCAGATTATGACATCTCTACAGAATTACTGAGTGTTTTAAAAATTAAAATAAAGGACAGTCTAAAAGGATGAGGAAGGGTCAAAACATTTCTTCCCTTTCAATCTTTTAAGAACTCACAATTGACATTAAGATTAACATTATAAATATATCACATTGAAGGGTGGTTTGCACACATTTCTAAACTATGTTTGGCATCCACAAAAGTACCTTTAAAATAAGAATTCTTAGATCCACAACTCTTTAGTGGTATTAGGATTTTTTATAAATCATTGTATATGGATCTACACAAACACATATATTTACTTAAAAGTCTTAACATTTGAAAGCTCTCATTTTTGTCTATATGAATTAAATTATCTCAACTTGTCATCTGTCTTAATATACAGAAGTCCTGTTCTCGAAAAATAACATCACATTCATGTATCTATATAGTGAAAATCCAAAGAAATTAATGATGCAAATTAAATCAAATACTGATATAACTTTAAAGTATTTAAAGTATTAACATTACCTCAAAGCAACAAAAGCCTCTCATTTCTAAAATAGCAAAATACATTACAATTATTCTATATCAAATATAACATCAAATATAATATGACAATTCATTACAAAAAATGTAAATAATAATTTTTAAAAATAAAGCAAACAGTAAACAGAGTTCACAGCATAAACTATATGCCCCTTCCCCTAAATTGTTAAAAATTAAAAAAAAAATTGAGAAAAAAATTCTTTTCTACTATTTTGAGTCTAAGAGTGCAATTTCCGGCCATCTAGTGGTGCCATAATCATAAATTTTTTCACCACAGTCTCAAGTGGGGCTGAAGTAGTATAGATCTTCTATCCGTGAAAGTCCCTCTCTGGCCCCCCCCCCTCTATTTCAATTTCTTGGATCCTCCACCGAAGTGTCCAACAACATTACCCCAAATGTGTCTATGTTGTACAAGTTGTTATTTCAACATCTGTTATAATATTATTTTTGATTAAATTTTTGGAATGTTCAGACAATACAGTAGAACCCCATTTATGGGGACACTTTCTAGACCAAATGTTGCACCTGAATAGGGATTGGCTAGTATTAAAAGCAAAATTTTCCCCTGATTTACAGCCAAAAAAGTGTCCCATAATAGGTGTTCCCAAAGGAGGTGGGCGGGGTCCTACTGTAGTACCATTTCACCACCACATTAAGTTTATTATCCAAAGAGCAGACTACAAGTTTTTCTAGCAGCTTTCTGACATAAAATTTTGATAACCCCCAGATTCAAACATTGGATAGCTTGTTAGAAGTATTAAATAAAGTATCAACTTCGAATTAGTCAGAGATCAAATAAAATCAATTTTCACTGATTCATCCAAAGTATCACATTTTCTTCGACAAAAAACTGTTGTATGGCCATATAAAGTCATGATATACCTATATATGGTCATGATGTGATGTCATCATAGCCATATTTAGGCATACCACATGTTTTTGTCAAATAAAATGTGATATACTTGACAGGGCTGTACAGACTTTTATCTTTTTTATACAAAATCCACAAATTCTGGCTATATGTCAAATATTATAGGATCAGTACTTTTTGTGGAAAATTGGCAAGGACAAAATTGTCTGAGCCAACTAAAAATATACCTATGCTATACAAATCAGGAAATTCATATTTTGAAATATATTCCTCAATGTAGTAGCAACAGACAGATATATTTAATCATTGAGAAAACACTTACAAACCACAGATGTTCATTTACACGTTCACCTGAAATGAGTTCATGGTGTGAACAAAAGCTTGCAGTAAAAAGTGCATTAGTCTGCAAAGTACAATACACCGTAATTTTTAAAACTGAATACTACTGTACTCTGATCCTATGATCTGTCATGATCTGTTGATTACCATTTTCACAAGAGGGCAGTATACTACTATAGAGGTTGTTCACTCCCAAACATACGCACACAGTATCATCATGTAAAATATTGTACTGTAAGTGCATATTGCACAGGTCAATCATCTAGAATTATCTTAGATGTTTCTGTAATTCTAATTGATTGATCCCTGTATAATACTACAAGAACACAAACTGTGTGGGCAGATTTTTCCCCTACAAACAAATCATGTGAATGTACTTTGCATTTCCTAATGTAATTTTCTGTTAAGTATTCCAGCACGTTACAAACAGTGTCTGTGGATACCTTATCACTCTTATTTTATGATGACAATTTCTATATTGTGAGCTGTTGTTATAATTATTTAATACATCTATAAAAACAGTACCCCATCGATAAACGTACTGATTATATTCTTTATTGGCCTTTGGCAAAGTATGTTTCTCTTCTAGATATTTATGAATCCCATTATTTTGTAAGTACAGGTAATGACAGAAGTTCTACACATGTTAGGGCTGCAAAGTGGGGAAAATTACTGTGTAGACTTTTAGCCTCAACAGGCATGCTTTAAAAGGCAAGTGAGCTGTTGTGGCAAAATGAGTCTTGTGGCTAAACTAACTAAATCCTTTCTGAGCCACTGGGGCTCATAGGGCTGGAGCTTATCCCTAGTTTTTGTAGTGTAAAGTGGATGAGAATTGTACTCCCCATGGACGGGACACTAGTCCATCACAGGTTAGTCCCCAGCAGTTTGCTGGTACCCATTGATACAGCTGGGTGGATGGAAGCAATGTAGCTAAAGTGCCTTTCCCAAGGACACAAGCGAATCTGCACAGCGGAGACTCGAAACCCCGACCTTACGATTGAAAGCCCAAACCTCAACCGCTGCGCCAAACTTCCTAGTCTTGTCACATGCTGGGTCAATTTGATATATTCAAGAAAATATATATGAAGCAATATTTTGACAAAAATTAGGTTTCAATTTTTCTGATAAGTTTAATATGTATGTTTATACATAATATAATACAAAATGGGAGAAAAAAAAAACCATACAAACATAAACTATTTCTTTGTCTTGTTTTCCAAAAATGTACAAATAATAATAATAAAAAAAATTCAGTTGAGATTCTGTGGCAAGTTTGATTCATCCAGACACGACATTATTGATTCACAAGTCCTGGGCTAGTAATTGGTTACCGTACTTTACATGTCAAAGGTTCTGGTTCCTGAATAAATGTTATAAGAAAATTTAAGTTTACAGTGAAGCTGTGTTCGTAACTTACAAGGTTCATTCCTTTTAACTTTACACTGTTCCATTTTTCAAATGTCAAACTTAGTATCACTTTAAACACTATAGGTATTAATTTTGACAATGCAATCCAGAGAAAGTGGGAACCCAGATTCAGCTAGCCCAAGGCAGGCACTATATGTGTATGAATCATTACCCAGAAATCATTCTCACTAGCCCAGCAAAGCATAACCCCTTTATGTCTGTTCATTTTTTCAGTGGTTGTTTTGGACGAATCTTCTCAAATGTAAATCGTTGTGGGACGTTTATATATTCTCCGTTTCTAACTTGTAGTGTTCTCCTTTTGACGTCGTGGAAAATAGTTCTGGCAAAGTTGTAAAATTCATCCTCCATTTTCCATACTACAGAGTTCTTTATCTTGGCAACTGTTGCCGCTGACGGTTCTATCTTGGTACTTGTTTTGCGAAGGTGGGAACGCTTGCCTAAAGAAAATATGACAATAAATAAACAAATAATAAATATAAAATTTACTTTGAAAACAAAAATCCAGACACTTTTCTTCTGAAAAGACTTTAAGATGAGTTTATATATGAAGATTAAATATAGTTGATCATACTAGATTTTATATAGTCTTCAAAATAAATTACACAATAAAAAATGTAATCATGGCTGTAATGATACACTTCAGGTTTTTGCAGTTAGTGGTTCCATCTTGTGAAGAAACTTAAAACCGTTACTATGACAATGTTGATCAAGGTGAAACAGAGTAAGATGACTCACAGCATCAAATGGAATTTGCTACAAAATTACACTGAGTACATTTTCTGAAGAGATTCAAATTGTTTGCAATGTAATTACTGGTGTGTTAAAATGTCAGTTATTTGGATTTTCAGAGTGATGATGATGTTGAAGAAGCTGATACAATGATAATTGTGTAAGGTATAAGGATGAAGATGATGTTGTTGAAGTAGATGTTAATGATGATGTGAATGCTGTTAGGATGATGATATTGTTGAAGAAGATGTTATGAATGATGATGAAAAAACATTATGAAAATGATAATGATAAGGATACTGATTATGATGGTATGAGGATGATGATAATAGAAGATGCAGGTAATGATGGAGATACAAATTTTAAGATAATAATAACAATAACGATGATGATGAGTATGATGTTGATGACTAAGTATGATGTTAATGTTTATTTCTAATGGTCTTACAGGGTTGACTGTCATTAGAACGTCCATATGCAAAGCTAGTTAAGACTACCTGTATAAGAGTAGTTTTATAGAAGTTCCACTGGTTCACTGTTCTGTCATAATTTAACATTCTCATGATAATGTTGATGATATTGATGCGAATGATAATGATTAACATTATTTTTGACCTAACTGAATTCAGCAAACACTTACCATGCTGATAGAGTTTAATAGCACCTGTAAACATGGACGGTAGGGTAGACTCAAGCACAGCAATGAAGTCATCCATCTCCTCCGTCAAACCCACCACTAAGTAATTAGTTACAAGATTGTACTTGGCTTGCTGCAGAGCCCATTCACTCCCAGGATTCCTGTAAAAAAAAAACAACATTTTGTGACTTTCAACCCATAATAAATAATTACAGAACCTGAAATAATTTAGTCAAACCCTGAGTCTCCAATAAATGGGATATTCGTGAAGAACTAGGAACAGGTCTGTAACCAGGTTCATGGGAAGGGGGTTTCTTATAGGCCAAGTTTAACTCAGTATTGTTCTGTTTTAAACAAAGTTATGATAAAATACTACTACAGTAGTAAGCTGGTCAAAAAGGGGGTTTGGCCAAATCCCACAAAACCCGCCTGGTTAGGGCCTGGGGAACCTTGACATTAAATCACTGCAAACAAGCTGTTCTAGCAAAGAATAGTGTTCTCCCTGGTGTTACCCACTGGATAGTATTAAGTCAGCATTAGACTGACTGCTTGCACTAGACAACACATGAGCTTCCTCTGTATATGCATCCAGAGGCAGCAATTGTAGAATATATATAATTAATGCTTGCGGTACATCACGTAGATAGTTCTGAAAAGAACTGTTGTTGTTGGTTGAGAATATCTCGATGTTTCGGTTGACTTGCTTCAACCGTCTTCAGGAGAATAATATCTGCAGAGATCTCAAACAGGGAAATCCTACCAGTGAAAAGCTATACAAAAGCTAAAATTCACGGTCTGAATAGAAGGGCGGGGCGTGGCTTGAAAGCCAAGACAGTGGCATTGTTCTAGCTGGGGGAAGGAAAGCCAAAAACAATGGCATAGTTTCCAGTGTAGAGGGAAAGATTTGGCGGGAAAAATTTGGTTTAGGTCCGGTTAAACATGGACAACCAAATATCGCTGATGACAAATCCAATATCTTGATGTACTATATTATATATATTTTATATTATTATATATTATACTTCGCCATGCAAACCTTCAAACAATTGTAGAATATGTTTACTGATCTAGCAGGTATTCCTGAAGAGCAAAAATAGTTCATAAAGGAAAACAAAACTGAAGTGAAAAGGTGATAAACTCTTGGCATAACATGCAGGGTTTCTATAATTGCCTAATTTCACTTTCAGGATTGTCTAGGGCTGAGGGAAACTACAAAACTTAAGAAATAATAAAAACAAAAATGTGGAATTTCAGTCTGTACTTTACATCACGAAAATGAACAATCCATTGCCATCAAAGTATATGGACATAAAGTAGTATTGCCTTCTATGAATACATTTTTACTTTTTTATGTCGTTTATATGCACTGTTTTGCTGCCACTAATTTTTACCAGCTATGATTTTACACTATATGAAAATTTTATCAGGAAGTTCAGTGCTAAGATCTCATAATTCATGAGCAAATTGGCACATGAATGGAAAAAGCGTATTTTTAATTATTTTTTGGCGTGCAAGTCTGCAATTAAATTTCATACTTAAGTCGACAATATGTGTGTTTTTTTGTTTAAAAATGTTTCCAGAATATTCAATTATATCAAATATAATGTCTTTAAAAGTGGAATTTGCTAAATCAGATATGAGTCTTTGAATTTCGATGAAAATGTAAGCACCCAGCATGCACATAGACATTTATATCAATACATGCTCAATCACTGTAGGATTATTCTAAACTTGGGATTAATTTGTCAGCTCCTGCAAGAGCCACTTAAAGGAAACAGGAAGAGGAAGGGGCAGGTGGAGCCCTGGTAGCCTGCAATTATAGATTTCACCGAACAGCAAAGAGTCAGGAATAAAGATGTATGAATCATTTCCTTTGAACATAAACAGAAAATTTGACCTGATCTGCAAATGGATAAAACTACAGTAAGTAGAAAATGTAAGCAATAGTAACTAGAATTATTGATTTTCATGATATATGTTGGGAAAAATTCTTTAACACTTTAATTAACACCAGTCCTAGAGAGGGCTTTGGTTCACAGCCTACAAGAAACCCCTCAATTTTCTTATAACTAAACATCCACTCTATAAGTTTAAGCCCTTTAAGGTAACAATTTACAAGAATTGTTGAAGCAGATGGAGTGGTGTGGAGAATAAATTCTGGCATTTGCAGGATTTTCACACAACAAAACCTTCCATTAATAAAAAATCCAGAAATTTATCCTTAAAATTCCCTGGCCACACTTGTGACTTACCCACATGGATGTGATATACCTTAAACCCCAAATACGGACAAATTATGGATATTTTTTTATATACAACTTGATAAGAGTGGGTTACTTCCTACTAAATTAAATTTCTAAAATTAGGAATATAATAAAAACTTTAAAAGTTGGTCTCTACCTACAACATTAACACAGTTATTCAGGCAATTATAAATATTATACCATTATGTATTATTTTATTTACTACTACAAGTAGATGATGACATAATTAATATCGAAATATTGAATCCTGACATGATGGCGTGCATTTCGATACTTGGAGATGTAATTATACTATCTTATCTGAGATTAATCAGTGGACGTTTCGGTTTAAGTAGTATAACCTACCAGACAAATAGAAGATTCAGGGGATGACACTTATTAACCTATCATAAAAAATTTGAGGGTACTACACGATACTATAAATCGAGTCTTGTAAAATATCAACAAGGAAGAATATTGCCCAGGGTTTAGTATGTTACATGATGTGCATGTACCACATTCCAACAAGTTTGCACGATGTGCTAATATGCATAGAAAAATGTTGCAAGTGCTCTTATATGTTTATTGTGAAAAAGCAATTTAAAAACTAAATTAATAAAATATTATCAATTAAAATAAAATCACTAAACTGTATTACTATCATGGAAGACCATTTCAATTTCATTGATTGTGTGCGTTTATAGCAACAACATTGAATTTACAAAATTGTTCTTACCAACACTCTTGGAAATGACCACAAAAAAACGGGATCTGCATCCAAAGCTTCTCAGGAAGACACTCTGGCATCTCTTTCTTAACACATTCATCAAATGTCTGAAAAGAGATGCAATAATACATAACTAATGAATGAAATATCAAATTGCTAATGCAAAATATGTACTTGCGTATGAAAGGAAACTTAATACAAAAGCGAGTGAAAAGTGTAGCCTCTAATCGGAGTCAAATTCAAGGCAAAAGCATTGGTGGCCCAGTTGGTTAAGGTGTTCGTTTATAAAGCACAAGTCCTCAGTTTGAATCCTAAATGGAATAATGTTTTTTTTCTGTACTATAACATATGTTCAAGCATTACTTCAAGAGGTTTCAACATTAAAAACATTGTATATGTTTCAACAGAAGGAAAATGAACATGTCTGTTAAATACATGTTTAGAAATACTTTATGTACAAACACAGATTTTGGCAGTTTAATACTGCATTATGAATGTTTCATTTTATTTCCTGAATGTTCAATCAATCAATTTATGAGATGCATAATAAAACTGTGAGTTCAGATATGGCATTACTAAATCATAATGTTTAATACTTCCTTCATTTGAATGTTAAGTCAATCATTCAACAATCAATCAATCAATCAATCAATCAGGTGCAAGATATCACTTTTTTGTCTTTTTATATAAAGGTAAAAACACATTTAAATTAGAGCGCTGCAGTCACTACGTAGAGTGCATACCGCCACCCTGTACCTGTTTACCAACCAATACACAGGCCGTGTATGGGTGATTCCATTATTTTCTTTTGCTCAAGTGTACAAAATCAAATTTCCGTGAACTTGATCTTTACTAAAAAAAATTTTAATCATCTCTTATAGATTATTTATTTTTTAAATTTATTAAAATTTCATGATGATCCATTCCTTAGTTTTTCTACGTAATCTTGCTAAAGAGACAGCAGTGAATACATACCGTATATTCTCGCGTATAAGACAAAGGCTTAAAATAGCAGATTACGATAAAAAAATAGGAGGTCATCTCATATCCGCAACGTATACATCTCTTATTTTTTAAATCATGTCTGTCTTATGTGAGGATCATCCGTAACACATAAATTTTCAACTGAAATGAACTGTTAGTATGAATGAACGTAATTAAATGCGGGGAAGTAAGATTTTGATGAACATTTAAAAGCCCACAAAATGGTATTATGGTTTTTTAGCCAGCCAGATGGAATATCATAAAAAGCAGCAAAACGTAGGCCTAAGGAGTTTGAATATACCAGGTATCGAAAGGAGGAATTCAGAGGGTGAAATGGGAGGGAGGATCATCTTATACGCCCAACATACAAAAATCGTCCAAAAATCTTCTCAAATTCAGGGGTTGTCTTAAACACGGACCGCCTTATACGCAAGAACATACAAAAACCTCCTTGGCACAGGTAATGAAGGCCACTGTAAGCAGACAGAACAGGGAAGGAAATCAATGAACATGAACATCACAGTGAGGTGGTCAGTATTCTCAATGAAAAGAAAGAAACCTAAATTGACATGGCTACCAAATCATCAGAAATTTGTGAATTTCTAATGCATAAATAATTGATCCCTAATTTATTTTCCTTTTTGTGGTGTCAATCTACCCATCGCTATTCTCTTTCTTTATTCCCATCGGTTTTTCATAATATTAAAATAATTCAAGTTCTGTACATTCAATTAATGCAGTATGTGAATTCATGCAGTAGACATTTTTTCATTGTTTTTCTCATAACTCCATTTATATTTATTAAACTTGATATATTCAAGATAAGTATACGTGTCTATTTTGCCAAGTTGTTTTTGTAATTTTTTTTGGTTATTCACCTTTGGGTATAACATAGTGAACTGATTAATAAGTAATATTCATGACACCTAAAGTAACCGGGGTGGTTAATGAAAAATTAACAAGCTAATATCGTTATGACATTAATAATCCATGGAATTCGTCTATAATTAACCATTCGTTTGAACTACATTTCAGGTATAGCAAAAATTACATGTCTCCTACATTGTGAAATCATATCCAGGGTATAGAAAGTCAAATCCAGGTCAGCAAAAGTGCTTGCCTGAAAATTTCTGGGGGCGTGACCAATAGCCTGGTAGATCAATCTCTGTTAGTTACGACGTCCCTAAACCCTAGGTCAAGGGGAAGCAGTACTAACTATATGCCATGCCTCATAATCTATAGTACAACATTTATTTCCATCTCACTATAATCAGACAAGTCAAACTATGAAACACTTCAATATTTTTTTATTTTATTTTATGTCATTAATTGCACATTATTCATTACCGGTAGTTGTTTAAAATGTAAACATCCTGACAGCCTGCATCCTGATCTAAGAATCCTATGAATGGTTGGCTATCTATTGTACTTAGAGAGCTGTATACTGTACTATAATTACTTTTATTATCAATACACGTTTATTTATTATGATTGATTATTTTAGCATGTAAATTTGTTATGATAAAGGGATATGGCATGGAGATATGATTATTTCCGAGGATGTAATTAGGAAGAATAAAAATAATAGTAGTAACAATAAGGATATTACTTAAGATTGTGTAGCCGGCCTGCTTGGGTTGGTAGAAAGAAATTAGTTAGGCCTACTTGCAGGACAAATATCAAGACCAATGGGAGGAGAAACAATAAAGGTAAACAATAAACCCAGAATACTATGATATTATTGCTACCCTTTGTCTCTATAATACTGTACATTAAAAAAAACCTTTGTCTATTAACCTGCTGTTATGGAACTATGTTATGGATTTGTGTTACACAGATATGTTATGCACTTTGTGTTATACACTGTGTTACATACTTTGTGTTACACACTCTGTGCTACACACTCTGTGTTATACACTTTGTGTTACACATCTTGTATTACACACATTGTGTTACACACTTTATTATTACAAACTTTGTGTTCACACTTTGTGTATGCACTTTGTATTACATGCACTTTATGTTACGCACTTTGTAATGGATGTGAACATACATTACAGGTACCATGCATTAACAACAAAAGAAAAAGGACAAACTGGAGAGTATTTCCTCTTTCTGTCGTTTAGCTATGTCAGATATGTTCTTGTCCTATTTTGATTGTTCTAAATTGTAGTATAAAATACTGTAATAAAAAATTGTATTATATAAAACTATATGATCATAATGATATAGTATTATTCTCTTTTAGAACAATAATTATCCTAGTTTCTGGATTTAATTGGAAATAATTATGTTTCATAACATAGGCTTAATAGGCATTCAATTTATTATTACTATTTTTCTCAATTTGCACCTTAATATATATTCCATCTTTTTTTTTATCAATGAGATGATGTGTGAAATGTAATATAGTTAAAAAATTCTTAAAAACAGGAGAAAATTAACAATGAAAAGCCGGAGAACCAATTACATCATTATTCAATGACAGCGAGGTAGCATTGTCAGCTCCTACAGAATATTTCCTAGATGAAAATAATGTGAAAAAATGTTTGTTTTACATTTTAAAAAGGCCTAATTTTTTACATTAGGAATTGATCTTAGTACAAGCAGTACATTAGAGCAGGTATTTAATTACATTTTGATTACCACAGGACAGACATACTAAATTAACCATATTTAGCTGAAGACATTAACATGCAATGTTCTGAACTGAATGTTCATTGAGTGAAAGGTTAATCTAGTGTCACATATGCAATGCTACCATGTACAAAATCAATGATCTGAACTCAAAACTTGTATATGAGGCCATTGAAAATATATTTTTAAAATATTACTTAAAAAATACTTATTTGTATTAAATTTTAAAATTATTATTATCTATTATATTATTTAAAAATCATTTAAAATTGAAAATTATTAAAAGTAGTCACATTAGTTAAATATGCTTCAATACTATAATTGCTTTTTCAAAATTTAAAATTATGGTCATGATAATTCCATGAGTTGTATAACAATAGTGTTCAATAGTGTTTTTGTGCTGTTAAATTTAATCTTGGGATTGCGTTAATATTTCTGTGTAATGTATTTAATGACATGGATTTGTTTTATATATGTGGAGGGCCCTGTGGGATGATGACAGTCATAATTTACTAATAGGTTACCCAGCATGAGAATACACACTAAACACATCATTCTGTATTTTAGCTGCAATAGTACTAAGAGAAGATAGCTGGAACAAGTGCCTTGGTCGGGGCCCAGGTCTGTTAGGAGAACTGGTAGCCAAGATGATGAAATAAAGTGACGAAAAACAAAGAGTTATGTAGTGTGTGTTGATTTTTGTGAGAATCCTGCAATGCATAAATTACTTGGGACTCCTAGAACCTGCCTGTATGATGTAAAAGCTTATGATGTCTCTCTTAACCAAGATTCTTGATTGAAAGCACTTTTAAGTTCTCTGTACATGAATTTTATTATCTCTTGTTAGAAAACATACTGGCGGTCACTGACTGAATGTTTTCAAATGACTTCACTTTTATCTGAACAAAGATTATGTTGATTGACTGTTGCTGAATAGTAATTTTTAAATGAAACTTGTTATTTAACAAATTAAAGATCACCATTAATACATTGATTTCCTTTTTATATATTTAGTATTATCATGGAGATCCAAACGAATATTAAAGCATAATGAAAACATAATGAGACTAAAGCCAGGCTTACACTGCATCGGTAGACAGTCGTTTAGGCCGATGAACCCACCTCCAATCTCTGTGAGGGCTTAACGATGTGTTGCTGTCTGAGTGGATTGCCAATAAAAACGATATCATGTGGGTGTCTCATGTTGAGTTCATTGTGTAATCGCATCCACAGATAACCAGCGGAGCAGAAACTGCCCAGCTTAAGGCAACATCGTATATTCAATCCCGTATGTATACATGGAATGCGGGACGGATCCAGCCCAGTAAAAAGAGATGCCGTGATGTCCGAACTGAGTAAGAGTCTCAGGAAAGATCCCCTGCTAAATGGGAGGGGTGCAAGGGGAGATTCTCCCTTAAACCTTTAGAACCTTCATTAATTTAAGTTGATATTTGATTGATTTTTAATATTTAGCATGGTAATTTTC